TCATTTTCTGCAGTAGAAGGACGCGGCGCAGCTGTGTTTATTCTCTTAGGGTGTGAATTTTTGGTTAATATCTGCATGCAGCTACCAAAAGTATTACTTGTGGCGATTCGGATCACTGGGTAACATACGAAGTGCTGAGGTCCCAGGACTACCTGTTGCTGCGAGTCTTTTAAAGTCATTGGGTTCGTTAAAAGGACGAGCGTGGATGTGCTTGAAAAGAATCCTCTGTGCCGTGTTGTCTGACCGTGTTGAAAGGGAAAAAGTGTTAATAGCTACTGGCCACACTCAAAGGCAAAGCGTGCTGTCATGTGGGAGCGAGCCGTGATTAATTGTTTAAATATGGAGATACTGGTGTGAGCTTTTGGATGATTTTTCCTGGAAAGCATTCATGGTGCTGCTGGACTCAGTTGTGAGAGCTGGAGAGAGAGAAGTTTACACCCTCCCCCATTTTCTCACCTTTCTTTGCCAATCGCTGCTTGAAGTGGGCGTGGTGAGTCCACTGTATAGAGCTTGTCTAGTCTTATCGACCACTCAGAGCGCTTTACGCTACAGGTCACGTTCACCCATTCACACACACACACACAAAATTGGGGTTCAGTATCTTGCCCAAGAGCACTTCAACATGCGGACAGGAGCAGCCGAGTCGCTGCTGTTGTCGGTTTTGGATGGTTACAGAATTTGTCATAACTCAACCCCCAATTCCAGTGATGGAAAGGTGTGTGGTGAGATTCAACCGTGTGACAGGCATAAAGACACCTTAACAGTAGTGAAGCCCCTGTCCTTTGTAAAATGCAGGGAAAACACAACACTGAATGTGCAAGTTCTGCCTGTACAGGACGCTAGTTAGCCTTGCTAAATGAATGAAACTAATGGCTTATAGCTAATGTTGTGGGTTAACTTTCAACCAGTGTCGTCAATCGGTGTTGATCGTCTCCAAGTCGGATGTTTGCCAGTCAGCTATTGGAAATGCCAAATCAGAGAGTCTTAGAAATGATCATATACATCTATAAAAGGTTTTTTTTTTTTTAAATGAAAAGTGATGCAACTTAGCTGCAATATAGTGACTGCTTATGTTTCATTCTACAAAACACTGATGAAAAATTCAATTTTCAGCTCAACTTTAAAGGAGATATTTATGAGTTTTGCTATTGCTTTATCGTTCAGCGTCAAACTTCATTCCTTTACTCACCAAGAGTAAAGATGAAGAGTTATTTCTCTCCTGTTTTTGGTTCTATTTCTATCACTTCTTTTCTTGTACTGTAAGTTAGCAAGCTAAACAGTTAGCCTCAGCCCGGTCGGACGGTCTCCACACTTTCCGATACAGAGTCACAGTAACGTGCAGCCTGCCCTGAAGAAGGAACGTATCCTAGCATCTTGTCTTATAAATGCAGTGATGGCTGAAACACTTGCCAACACTTACTGGTGAGTAAACAGCTGTAAATGCTAACGCTGGCTCTGTAGCAATAACAAAACTTACAAATACTCCCCTTTTAATGCTGTTATGAGATAGCCCTGAGCTCCGCCACCTTTATATTTTCCAGCTACATTACAGGTGACAAAGCTGACATGAAATACAGCAGAATTAATACGGGCAAATTAACTGGTTATATAAGAAGTAATACGAGCGCTTTATGAGCGAGCCGTTAACGCAAGCACGGGGCAAGTTATTAGACTTGAAGGGCATGACGACCACTATATCACCGACACCGATATATCAACCTCTCCCAATAGTTTAAGAATTTACATTGAATTATTACGCCCTGGCAAATGAAGCAAGCTCACAATATGCCCCCCCCCACCCCCCACTCCCACTACCCATCCTGCAAGAAATAAATATCTCCCAGACACAAGTTAAAAGCCCAGAGGCTACAAAATCAATATTTCATAGGCAGGAGGTGATAAAGAGTCTTGATCCAGCTCTTCCTGTCTTTGAAGCAGCCAGTAGTCCAGTAGCGAGCAGCAGGATGGCTCGATGCCATCTGAAGCCACAGCCAAGTGGATTTGGGCCACTGCACAAATTTAACAGGTACAGGAAAGAGTTGGTCACACTTCACTCTGCAGTGGGTTGATCGTTCTGGAAATAAAAGCCCAGGTGACAATCGCATGTTATATGTGGAGCTCTTTATTATGTAACGACCCCGCAGAGGATCAAAATCCAGGGGATAAAAGTATCTCGCCCGGGCTGGGTCATTGCATTACTGCTCAGCCATTCTACTACTCTGCCAGGGCTCAGGACTAGTTCAACAGAGTCCAAATCAATATTATGACCAGCAGGTCAAGTTAGTTTCAGATCAAGAAATTTTCAACACCAAAAAACACAATCTTGTACAACATATTTTGGCATGCAGTTAACGCTACAAACATAAAATCTACCTCACCAATTATTTATAGTGTTTTTTATACAGGCTGTGTGCTTGTTTTATGTAGCTCTTATCAAGGCTGTTATTAAATCTCCAAGTTGAACTAGATTTATAGTCAATGAAAGGGGCTAACAGGAGTTGCCCGTGGCGTAGATTTTGGTTTACAGTTTATCCCCGGATTCCACTCGTTGATAAACCCCACTGCGAAGCTAGATAAGTGATCAGGCTTTAATCGTGCTTTAATTGTGTTCCCTGGAGTAACTGTGTTTACAGTCTTTTATTCTCTTTGTGATACAGAGCGATGGTGGGCTGCACACATACACACATTTCTCAGGAGGTGCATTCATGTCAGCTGTAAGGCGCTGCCTATGTCAAAACCTCACAGGCCATTCAAGCAGTATAAAAAAAGCTCCCAGGAAGTTTTTATAAACTCCTTTAGACTGTGAGTCTGGACTTCACTGAACAAAGACATCAACCCATGCAAGCTAAATTAGACTTTCCCTTCTAAGGACGTTGGGATTCGGTTAATATTTCATTAATTTGCTGTAAGATCTAAAGCCAAGACTGTGGCTGCATTAGCTAATATAAGCGAGATGACGATGTGATTTACTTTACTTTACTGAATCCTTTGTTTAATGGCTGTCATCTGATTAGTGTCATATTTTCTCTGTAGGATTTTTCATTTCATGCACTAAAAAAAAACAAAATAAAAAAAGCATCCAATCATTCATCCACTTATCCCTGATTGATACTAATAAAGTGTTGAAACAGCTTTTGGATCCTTGTGCATCCAAACTAGATGTTACATGAGCCAACACTGCTGCCATCATTGTAGTGTTTCTTTTTTTCTTGTTAGTTTTTAGATGGATTACTAACTAAACAAATTTGGCAACAGCCTTCGTCCCCCGAAGGTTCCAGGTTTTTCTCTGTGATCAATTTGTGGTAATTTGGTAAATTTGTTTGTGCGCATACACGTTTGGTACTGCATGCACTGAAGCGCATTATCAGCCTCACTGCAACACCTGTAACATCAGGTAACCTCAAGTTAAAAATTAAATATTTATTTTAGTTAATCTGCTGCTAACATGGTATAATTAATTAATATATACACAATTCACAGAGAGAAAAGAGGGGAGGGGGCCCACAGCACATTTTTGCCCCGGGGCCATTTAATGAGTTAATCCGAAGGAGCTTTTTTTTTTCCCTCCTCATATTGTTTCATTTGAAGTATTTTTCCAACTTCAAAGGGGGAAAGAATTTAGTGTCTTACAAATAAAAGAGAAACTTAAAGTAAAGTAAAGTAAACAAAAATAAGACTAGGTCAAAACGCCTCTGGTCAAATCCTGACTTTATAACCACGACGTCGTCTGACAGAATCACATAGACACATAAATGAAAGACAAAGACTGAGCCGCGATTTCAGCTGGATTTACTGTAACATGATTGATCGATCGCAGAGAAAGTTAGAAGAGACAGAATATCGTTCAGGAACAGCCGCGGGAAACCGGAGCGGCTCGGCAGACCGCCCGCAACAAGAGGTGGAGCCCTGAGCCCCCGGTCGGCATCCAAACACGGCCCAGACCTGAACCGGGTTTATACCCTGGCTGTTTGAAAAAAAAAAAGGGGGGGGGGGGGGCAGTACACATTTTTGTCCAAGGGATCCCCTGCCGGGTTAGTCCGGTCCTGCTAACGCTTGTGCATATAAACAAAAAGACAATAACATGAACTTAAACATGAGAACATGAAAGCGGAAACCAGCGCTTAACAACAAACAGAAATACAGATATGCTAAATAATTAAGAAACTAAACCCCACTGGCGAGGTCAGAGGTCAGGGTCGCCTGCAGAACGGCGCTGCTGGAGCCGGAGCGAGGACCAGCTTCGCTACAGGCGTTTCATCTGCAGCCTGAACCTGCGAGCTGTCCAGGGAAAACCTCGGCCTGATTTTGATCACATTCCCATCCAGTATGTTAAATACTGCAGACAGTCAGAGAGAACAGCTCCTCATTCATCACACTGAGGGAAAAAATAAAACACCATCCAGCATGGACACTGATTCTGTCGCCTCTGGCAGGATGTTGCTCACTAAATACCTTCAGCAGAGGTGAGTCAGAATTTAATCAGGTGGGTTTTTTTTTTTGCATAATAATGGAGAATAACAGCCAAACGGAAATTAGTGTTTGGAAGCCAAAAATGCACTTAAAGGGAACATGGAGGAAAAATGTCCCCTGCAATGTGACAGTGTGGTGACCTGTTGTGTATCTAATAATTCACTGATCCATTTTGCCTCTAGAAAACCGCAGATGCAAATGCAAAAGTGTGACGTGAGGCTGTCAGATCCACCTGCCGGCCACATGGAGGCGCCGCAGACCCGCATTCCTGCGTGCCGCTCTGCTGGCTTGACAGTGCAAAAAAAAAAAAAAAAAAAAAAAAAGTAAGGAAGCCGTTACAGGAATAAGGAGGGGGGGGGGGCTCTTTTTGAACGGTTTAGCTCGAGATCAGATGCTCCCTGTGCGGGCTGTGGAGGGAGCAGGCAGCGCTTCTGCAGGGGGATTCAGCGATGAATGGAGCTGAGCGCACAACTTCTCTCCAGTCCTGCTGCTGCCGCCGCTGCCGCTGCTGCTGCTCCTGCTGCCGCTGCTGGAGTTTCCTCTAGGATTTTTCTCCTTGTGACAACACGAGCTGGACTTTACTTCTTCTGCCAACATGTATCCGGCAGCATTGCTACTGATGCTGAGCGTCGGGATCTACGCAGACAGTATGGAGGGACCAACAGGTAAATAGAAACAGAAGGAAAGAGAAATATGTCGCAGTTTGGATTTACGCACCTGTAAAAAAAAAAAAAAAAAATCTCACAAGACAAAGTTGATGTTTTAAAGTTGTTGTTTTTTTTTGGCTTTATAGTCGTATTATACCTGCAGTCTAAACGTGTGCTGCTCTTTATGTGCTTTGCCCAACTTAAAAAAGAAAGTTGACTCTTGAGTCTGGCTGCATGCAGCGGTGCCAACTTTCTCCTTTTCGTGCATGCAGCGAAACGGTTCCAGGGGAGGCAGGAGATTTGCGGAATTGCCTCCACACTCCCGGAGTGTAATCACGGCATCATTTCATTACACGACTCGATGCTACTTGGTGAGATTTTTTCTCAGGACGTTTCCTCTCCCTGATCAGATGTGCAGAGTTACTAACAAACAGGCTTGGAAATGAGAGTGGACTGAAAGTGAATGCTCTCTCTCTCGTCTATTCTCCCTCTGTGGCTCTCTATCGCCGTCAAGTGCATTCGGCATCATGACATTCACTGTCATGTTGTCATTGTTCAGGCTTCAGTAGATGACTCCAGCCTCTTGCTGCTGCACCGTGTCGTCCTCCAGAAGGTGAACATCACATCTCAGTGATGAACTCATCCCTCATTGGATTTTTGATTTTATTTTTTATTGCTGATGTAAATGAAACGGAGTGCGAACTTGCCCGCGTGTTAATAGTATTGATGGAACATTTTGCACAGTCGTGTTTCTGAAGCAGGGTTGACTGCTTCAGTTTGCAGCAGGGAAAACTTTGGTGTTGAGCGAAATGAAGAGGAAGTGCTGCTGCTGCTGCTGCTGCTACAAAGCAATACAGTGCAGATGAATTAGTAATGTAAGCGTTGTGCCCCAAATAACAGCACTGGCAGCTGATCCAAATATTCTCTGTGTGTAGCCCATCAGTCAAAGTTTGACAGACAGTTTAAAAGTGTTTCTTCAAGGGGGGGGGGGCTGTGACTTCAAGCTGTAACACCTGAAATCCACAGAGTCTATCTGAGATAGGAGTTCAAATCCTCTCCACGTCGCCTGCAGCAGGTTTTACGTTTGAATGGCTGAAGCAGGTTTTTTGAAGATTTCCAAAGGCCACGGAACCTCGTCTTTTGAGGGATGTTGTGGAATATTGGTTCAGTAGAAAAAAAGAAAAATGCCTCTGGTCACACCCTGTCAAGTTTGTCTCAAGGAAAAGTGCCAGTTGGTTTATTCCAGGAATGCTTTGCATCTCGTGTGAGCTCCGATATAAATACCCCGGGTGTCAGTTACACAGCCACCACAAGCAGTTGTTGAACAGTCGTGCACCGAGCCACTCCCTGCTCTCCAGGATCAGATCGGTCCTGTAGGCAAGGCTTGGTGCAACAAGCCACCTGTCTCAGGAGCTGACACGGATCAACACAGAGGCCCGTCTCATCATCAGCTGGCATTACTCCACTTTATTTATTGGAAATCATTGCTGTTGTCAAGAATGGACACTGGTTGAAAATGATTTCCACACAGAAGGAATCGACAAAGACAAAACTGGTCCTAATTACTCATGTGTTGGACCTCAATGTTATTGTAGCACCGACTGAAATGTGTTGCAGTATCAATAAAGTTGGCACCAACTGGTTTAATCAGATTGGTGATAACTTATTCATGATCATTGCTAGTTTTAGACCGTTTGACCTCCACAATGTTCTGCTTTTGTTTAGACATTTCTATATTCATCAGTGTAACGTATCGTGTTGTCACTAGTAGTAGGGCTGCAACTAATTAGTCATTTCATTAGCTGTGAATTTATTGATTAATCAATTAGTCATCTGGTGTGTAACATGCCAAATGTATCATGCATGTACATTTATATCAGAAAACAATGAAAAATGCCCATCAAAATCTCTAAAGAACCTTAAAATGCCTTGTTTTGTCCGACCAACAGGGGGTATTGTTTGTCTTTTTATATTGGCACAAATTTGGTACAGATACCAAACTTTTAACCCTCCTTTTAGGAATCTAAACTTCTTTTAATTCACATTTATTTTAAATCTAAAAGACATTTCATTTCATTATAAATAAAGAACCTCATCTAAATAAACCGAGGTCTATAAAGTTAAAGAAAAGAAATAAAGTTTCTTGATTTGGAAAGTTATGTGATGAAAATGTGTGATAACAGAATAGATGAACAAGGCCAAAGTGCAGCACACACTGTCTGGGTTGCAGAGGGTTGCATCATTTGACACATGTCAGTTGCCCACAGCCAATGCTGAACACATCACATCGTAAAGACAGAGGAAGCAGTCGAGGTACAGTAGCTGAGCTTCGTCGAGCAAATCTGATAAAATGCTGCTTTTTACGAAACAAACATCCCGCCCGACTCAAACTGGAGACGTTACCACCCCCACCCCCTCACCCCCCTCCGGCCCCCCCAGTGCACTCCTCCCCCCCAAAATGCTGCTTTTGAAAGGGTTGACACATGTGGGTGCTTGGAAATAGAACCACGGTGCACCCTGAGGGAGCAGTCAACCCGTGCTGATGCATGTCGGGACGCTGCCGATCCGCAGGTTTACATTCAAAACAATAGGTGTGTTTGTTTTTGACGTGCATCAAATGTCAGCGGTGGGTGCCGCACTGAAGAATCATACCGGGCTTTCAACAACTTGTTGCTACTCCGATGCTTCAGACACATTTTTGGTTTGTACTTTAAAGGTTCTGAGGTTGTGTACACAGCTCTAGCTCTAGGTGAAAATCATCAAAGATTGTGCCTTGCCGTTTGTTGACGTCATGTGGCAGGATCTGAGGGTGTTGAAGTTTAAACATTTGCCTCTTTGCTGCCTTTTGGGGCTGCCTGCGAGTTGTGTCATGCAGCTTTAAATTCGAACGTGGGGGGGGGGGGGGGGGGGGACAGAGAGGATGCAGTGCCACCCTCACTTTGCATTTCTTCTGAATTCGAGCAAACGCTCCAGTATCAAAGGGAAGTGCCTGTGTGCGGCTGCATTTAGAGGTCTCTTACCTCAGCGTCGTACTTTCACCCACAGAGTGTGTGATTGCTGAGGTGAAACCGGGCATGTTGTTTAAGTGCTCCCAGCTCCGAGGAGTCAGTGCAAGAAGGTAATTTAATCCTGAAATGAAACCACGTGAGCAAACCCCCCACCCCCCAACCCCCCCATCACACGACACGACCCTCGGAAGGAGGTTAGCTTTAAAAGACCACTCTGAAATGGGCGCTGACGCGGGAAGGTGGGCTTTCATGGGCTGCTGGGAGTATGTACAGAGGGTCCTCGGTGTGTGTAGTGGTGTGGATTCGGCTCACTGTTAATCCTAGGAAAAATAGCCCGACACACACAGCTCTCCTGGGGCAAACGTGGAGGCTGTAAATGGAGAAAATGGGAGCATATGCTCACACAAAAAGCAATGATGAAATGTGGTTGTTCTGCAGGAAATAACACAAGATTCTTTAATAGAACAATGGCGAATTGCATAATGGCTACATGCTGTTCAAGAAAATGACTACACTCTGTAATTATAGTTCATGATAATGAGATGGCAAAGGAACAAGGTTGTTTCGACACCCGTTTTATAAAAGAAGAAAAATCACAGAAATCTATCAATATAACACAGTTCACATCGTTTACCAGACAGTTACAAGCCTTCAGAGCCGTGGGACTGAATTTCAGAGGCAACGGACTAAACAATCCAGCTTTAATTATCTGTTTGGCTGAAGAAAAATGGATGCAATTAAGCTTGAAATGGATAAAAATGACCAATTTGAAATGATAAAGTACAGCCCACATTTCACTCCTCACCTTTCTGATGCTGATTGCATTTTACAAACAAGTCTGCACGGGCCTGTTTGTCTTCTCTTTAAATGGACTATTAAATGCTCAAGCGTCAAAAAGGGTGGACAGAAGCAGCCTGACGGACTCAGACAGCGACGGCAAACCGGGGCGGCCGAGGTGGAAGTCGATAAGGCCTTTCCTCCCTCTGTGTTCCACCATGTTGATGGCTTTTGAAGTCATTTTAATGTCGTCTGCTTTTATTTGCCAGTCGTTCCGCTCGTCTCTGAGAGTTTTACTCTGGCAGGTCCGGCCGAAGCCAAACTCGTAAAGGTGTTTTCGGCAGAATTAAAGTTTTTACTTCTAATCATCAAACTGGAAGACTTCCGGCGGCCTCTGGAAGTTCTCGGGCCGGTGAATAGCTGAGAGACTTGGCGAACTTCAGCGCCTTTATATATATGGCGGCGGCATGATTACTTCTATTTATCTAAAAAATGATTTTTCCCCTTATCATTGAGGGAGGAGTCACGGCTGCAGCTGTTGTGCTACTGAAGTCAATTTTCTCCTTGGGAGTGGAGCTGGTGAAATGCGATGTCGCCTCCAACAGACTTTATTGTATCTGTCTAGGCTGAGCTCCAGCTCCTTCTGCTCCATCTGTCTTTACATCTAGTCTGTTTAAGTAGTCATCAGTTGTCAACAGTGCTGGGCAGTAACGCATTATGTGTTACAGTGATGTCAATGCTTTTTTCCCCTTAACTGCTGGAAGGGATTATAATTCGAGATGTAGTAATTTCTTTCCAGTTACTAATCCCGGTGATGCAGCATCACTTTGACATTTTAAGGGTCTTCTCGCTCGCTGTTGTACCAGCGGAGGGTTACATCAGTTATGTCTGTGTGTGTTCAGTGGAGCTGTGCTAGCTCGGCACGGGGGCCCCTTTAGTTAAAACTGTAATTACCAGCAACAAACAAGTTGGAATAAAACGTTCATGCCAGCCTCAACCTGTAAATCCAGGTTATTTTAAATATCTTGAATTTCTAACAGTGGTGATGTTTACCTCCGCTGTCAATATTCACATTAATATATTTCAATTTACCTCATTTAAAAAGCAGCTATACACAGTTTGTCACCACAGAAGAAGATAATTCAGGCTAATTAAAGGAGTTAGCATGCTAACCAGCTAGCCCGGCCCGTCTCATCACTTTCCGATAGCGACTCACTGTAGCCTCCGATCAGA